CCATCACTGTTTAAAAGGTGTGAGATCCAACAGGTAGATTAGTCCATGAAGTAAGTTCCAATGAAAGTTTAAAACACTTCACTGAGATTGGCTATAATAATAAAATCTTACAAGTCTGATTGTACTATACTTTCCCCCTTTCTTTTACCCCAGTGGCTCAGGGAGGCATTTATTTTGTTTCCCTGGACTTAAAGGATATTTCATCCCTCTTTGTTAATGTCATCTCCCTCAGTCTCTACAAAAGGGAAGAGGTACTGAATGAAGGAACATGATGAGTCCGCAGTTTGCCAATTGTAACAAACCAGCCCACTAGTTTCTGCTTTTTGCAAAACTGCTAACCTACCTGATCCTTCCTCTGAGATGTTGATGACTTTGCAGTATTAGAAGTCAGAATTTAAAATCAGAATACAGAAAGGGCAGTACTCCACCTTACGTACATCTTCACAGACATTTTCTCATGACATTCTTTCCTTACCTTTTATTTCCTCCTTCAATTAAATTAGTATGTTAAACTCTGTAAACATTTAATAATTGGGATGACTAATTTGATATCAGGTACTCAGCTAAGTTAAAAGGGAACTAATGGTCAGAACCAGCCATTATGTATGTATTTATTCAAATAATATGAAGAAGTGTAATCCGGAACAGTAAATATTATGGCCATGCCAAATAGAATGAATGGTGTTTGAGCGTGTGTTTCAGTAGGAGGTAATCACACAGGGCATAAAACTGACTGTTCTTGATCAGTAAGTAGAATTTTACTAATCTTAATGGCAGTAATAATCATGTAGGTGGAAAATGGGCAGTTGGTATTCAGTGACTAGAAGTCACCAATCTTTTGGAGAGTTCTTGATGAATTCAAGAATTGAGAAATTGCTTCTGATCTATTAGGTGCAAGAGTAACTGTGCAATTGTGGTTTGTGGTTTCTAAATGGGAAGAGCAAGACATGTAATTGTTAGTCCTTTAGGAAGTGGTATGGATAAAAACAGAACAAAGTGAATAGGAACACCCAAGCACATATTTGTCAAAACAAAATGAGGATTAGATCAAAAAAGAGAAAGAATAGAGACCTCTCTCATCAACTCCCATTATCATATTCTTTACAACTGAAATCAAACTTTTCATATACTTTATGAATTGAAACTTAACATCTATATACTGCTTAAACTTTTTGTCTGTTTCTAACCTTCAATTAACCCAAAAATTGCATCATAGTGCAAAGAATTTTGAATCAATCTACCTCACATGCAATAACTTAAAAATGCATTAAAAATTCAGAATCCATTATTCCTCTTGAATGACTATTAGGATATTACTGTAAGAAGTTTTGTTTGCAAAGTTGTGGTTCCTGCAGCATCACCATAGTTAACTGTCGTCATGTGATCATGATTTCCAATGCTCTCTGCCAGCTTCCCACAAGCAAAATCAATGGGGAATTTTATGACATACTACACAACCCATTACCCGTTGGGTCATCATTTTGGAAATATTCTCCAAAGCCAACAGAAAATTGGAAGTCACGCCTGCTCCCACTGCTTTTTTAAAAAAAAAATCCATGCATTTCCTTCTGTTTCTCTGTTTGGGTAAGGAAATACCTCCAAAATGATGACCCAATGGGTAACAGGTTGTGCTGCACATCATAAAATTAACTGAGTAGAATTTAGAAAGTATTCTTTACTTGAATTTAAAATGAATCTATTCTGCTTTCTATCTTACAATGTTGAAATGGTGCAGAACTCACAGACCAGTTTTATTTCCATTTAATAGTTAGCTCTACTGAAATAAATGACATTACTTAAGAACAGAATGAGAAAGTATTCTCACTTTCATAATGACAATGCACAGCATAAAATGATTAAAAGGCATCCTATAAAAGTATGGAATTTACTACACAGACAGAAGAAAGCCTCTGAGTTTCTACATACAGGTTGTCCTTGTTTAACGACCACAATTAGGACTGGCTACTCAGTTATTAAGCAAAGTGGTCACTAAGTGAAATTGTGACTGTGCTGATGACCTTATGTCAGTTTTCCTTTCCTTTATAGATCTGCAAAGGTTGTAAATACAAGAAGGACTGGTTGCAAAGTTACTTTTCAATTATTGTCATCACTGCGAACAACTGTCATCTGGGGCAGTTACTAAATGAGGACTACCGACACAAACAACCTAAATATAAATGATAGAAATGGAGAAACTGAAGATGAAATAACTGAAGTAAATTAAATGGAATTTACTTCATTTTCTAATTTGGAGATTATTATTATTATTATATTACAGATGAATAAATACATTATTTTAAAATATTTTTTCAATGTTGTACTTCTATTCATCATGTAACAATACTCCCCCCATGACAAGATAAGAACACTAGTTCACAATCAGTCAAATCTAATAAAAATACATTTTTACTCTGGCACACAGTTAATTTACCAATAAAATGGAATTAGTAGGCTTTAAAGCAATAAGTACTAAAATTTATCACAGAAAGCACATCTCTGTCTAAGGATTCCAGAAAAATCTAGATTTTTCTTACATATCTGTGAACAGCCCATTTATTTAATGTTTATTCCTTTTGATTAGCTTTTTAGTGTTTCAAGAATATTGGTATATTGGTTTTTTGTGGATTTTCTTGTAAGATTTAATTCAGAAGAATAGGAATATAGCAAGTGCCTGCAATTCATTACAAGTAGTTCTTGACTTACAACAGTTCATTTTGTGACCATTCAGTTATAATGTCACTGAAAAAGTGGCTTATGACTATTTTTCACACTTATTACTATTTCAGTGTTGCCTTGGTTACATGATCAAAATCCAAATAGATGACAAATAATTCATGAGGGTTGCAGCGTCCTGAATCCACTTTTGTGACCTTCTTATAAGCAAAGTCAGTGGAGAAGCCAGATTCACTTAACAACCACATTACTCATTTAATGTCTGCAGTGATTCACTTAACAAGTGAATCAAACAACAAGGTCGTAAAGAAAGGTTGTAAAATGTGACAAAATTCACTTAACAAATGTTTTGCTTAGCAAGAGAAATTTTAGGCTCAATTGTAGTCATAAATCAAGGAATATCTGTACAAGTCAGGAATGCAAATCATGTCACTCATGTTATAAAGAGGATTTCATTCCAAATCTGCTATCAGATCTGGTAAACAAATACAGATGTTTCCATGAGTCACCAAAAAGTGTTGCATTCACACTCTGAAATGCCTTTCCGAATGAAATCATCAGGCCTCATAGATGCTATCAATATCATTTCACTCACAGTTCCATACAAATTTCAAATTCTCCACACAATATTATTATTTGAAAATTAATGGCAAGCTGCTTAACATAATTGACTGACCCATTTCCTGAAATATAGATTTTACCAGGATTTCTGATAATCTGAAGCTTTTTTTTTTTTAATGTGCAAGCCAAAGTATTCCTTGTGACATCTTGTGGATGCAAAAATCAGAAATTAAAGAAGCAGGATAAGAAGTACAGATGCCTTTGATCTTTGGTATTAGAAAAGACTCTTGGGAATACTAAAAAGGTTTCCTCTATCCAGTTGTGTCTGACTTGGCAGACAGCGCTTACCACCATTCTGAACTGCTGGGTGACAGGAGTTGAGGCAGGTACATGGGAGGTCATCCCATCACACGGAGCTCGGCTCTTGAATGCAGACCATTAGCTTTCCAGCTGACAACCTCAGCGTCTTTAACCACTCAGCCATCATGCCCCCCCGCCCCAATACTATGGACAGCCAACCCCCACCCCAAACTGATGGATCATCAAACAAATCAATCTAGACATTTCACTCAAGGCACAAATGACCAAGTTAAAATGATCCTATTTGGGGCACATTAGAAAAAAGGCTAGTTCCCTAGAGAAGTCTCTAATGTTGGTAAGGTGGAAGCAAAAGGAAAAAGAAGATGACTAGCAGCAATCTGGATGGGCTCAGTTACAGTGGTGACGAATGAACTGTTGGAAGACATGAAAGAATATGTTAGAATCATAGAGAAAATCTACGTGGCCCCTAAGAACTGAAAACAACTTGATGGCACATAATGAATGAATGAATGAATGAATGAATGAATGAATAGATAGATAGGTTTTTATGAAACAAATATTCTAATTCTACTCCAAGATAATCCCACATTTGTGATATGGGCTTTGGGAGTCATTCTACCCTCATCCGCAAGTTTCTGGGGTGTTGGTAAAAATACTACAGAGAGGGTTTCTATTCTTAAAGTAACTGATTTTACTTCAACGCTTGTAATGCCCGGAGATGCTTCTGACAGCTCCTGTTACACAGAAGTTCGTGCCAGCCGAATTCCGGTTCAGCTCCTGAACAACGTTTCAGTAACCAGCGTAACCTGTACGGATTTTCCTCAGGCGGGTTTCATGAAAACGTTACGGAAATTTACTATGGAAGGAAGTGCGAGCTCAGTGGGTGTTTTATTCTCCGAGGAAAAAAAAACACGCAACATCTTCAGACTGGATCAGTAAGATTGAGGTGTAAAGGACCAACCCTCGCTCTCTAGAGCATCGTGGGTCTCTGCTTCCATTCTGTACTCCTCACCCGTGGTTGCCAAGTTTTTTTTTGCTTGGAACCCTGATTTTTTCTTTTTTTTCCTCCGGTACAAACCGAGTATAAGACTGACAAGGAGCTGCCACGGGACGAGCGATGGAAAGGGAAAGAAGCAGCGATGACGAGCCGGCAAGTGAAGTCGAGGCAAGGAAATACCGCTGGGGTCGCCTGGGAGCTTCCGTAGGTTTGCGTGGTTAGGACAGGCTTTCTGTTTGCATATTTTGGCGAACGATAAAAACAAAGCTTGAAAAAGAAGGGGGCGTAATGGAGGAGGAAAAGGAGAGAACTGGTTTAATGAGTGGCTATGAGACGGAACCTCTTCCTCTGAGCAGGTCATCCACGTGTTTTGAACTTCAGGTCACAGAATTCCCAACCTGGGAACCGTCCTCCCCCCATACATCTGGAGGCATCACATTGGGGATGTAGTACTGTGCCCATATCATCTGCTAAATATTTTCTGGAAATCCTTGTCGCTCATTTCCTTCGAAATTAAATACGCTGAGCCCACTTTGCATGTTAAGAGAAGAAATGTTTTTCACCTTCTTGAGTACATAATTTACAAGTTTGTGCTGGTTAATACTAAAGCGTCCGGGCTGCAGAAAATCCCTATGGCCGAGGGAGAAAAGCAAAAGGCTGCGAAAACTCTTAATTTGAAAATTCTATTTAGAGGTCCTCTGAATTTTGTAACCTTAATGCTGGTGCTTTTGTGCGTGGTTATACTTCCTGGTTATAAATGTATATGGATGGACATCTGAGATGTTTTGCAGGTAAGGTCAGCTATGGTTTGGAACGATTTCCATAAGACTTGAAATAATACATTAGAAATAGATCGTGGAGAAAATCTATGTGGCATATAGTTCTTCTGTTAAGATTTGTTATATTTTGATGAAAATATATATTGAAATATGCGACACTGTAAGCAATAAATTAGCTTTGCTTTCCCTGTACTGGCTGGGAAATTCTGGGGGCTAAAATCTACCCATGTTAAAATTGAGAAATACTGGTCTGCAGAAGGACTGCCAGATCTGAACTGAAGAAATCAAGAGGATCCACAGGGAGCAGCTAAAAGATAGAAAGGCTTTGTTGCTCTCTCATGGTCATCCAGTATATATGGAATTTTGAAAAAAATGTATTTTTGCTACTTGTTGGAAACATTTTGTCCTGTTTTAGGACACAGCCAAACAATACATTTTAGAGAAGTATTATTCTAGCTGATTTCATCTCTCTTCTCCTAACAAATGTTTTCCATTTTTTTTCTCCACGTCCAACTGCATATATCAGGAATATTCCCTTTCCCAGTAATTAATTTTGTGCTCCAAAAACTTGAACTGGATCTACCATTTGGATTAGCTGATTTAGATTTGGGTGTGTTTTATCAAGATTATTTTGATTGTTGCCTAGCTAGCATATTTAGACCTCTGTGATGTTTCTGACTGGGCACTTGAATTATTTTCTGTGGGATGAAGATACAGTAGTGCTGTGGAAAGAATGTGACTAAATACTGCTTGTCTTGAGAGTCAACAATGATCTTTTCTACATGCCTTCAATATCTTTTGGAAGAATGGCTTCTTAACAATCTTCTTTATATAGTTGTTTACTCAGTGCTGCTGCTTGCTACTATATTATTTGCTGTTCCACTTGCCATTGTATTATTTTTCTATTTTTCTGGTTTATTCCTCCTCCTGTATAAAAGGATTCGCAAACTGAATGGAAATTATTCTAGTAATATATGGGATCCTGTGAGGCTAATAATAGCAATCATATTGGATGGATGTGGAAGATTATGGCATGGTAAGCAAATATGTATTAGTGAGAAACTTAGATCTGTTACAGAATTATCTAGATTTCTTGGATTATATCAGCATAACTGTACTTACTGAGATAATGGATGTTTAACTCACAGTATTTTGTAATAAAATCTTCCATAAATTATTCACTTAATAAATGTATATGGCTGCCTATATCACTGAACATGGTTCTGGATGTGAAGAACCAACAGTTAAAACAATATTTGTTTTTAAACAAATAGCTATTATTAGCTAGCTCTCCAATTGTCAATATGCATTATACAAAACTACTGAAATTGGGAACATTGACCAACATCCAGAGTATGCTCACAAATAATATTTTAGTACTTAATATACTTTACTTATTTCTTAAATAATTATGTCACTTTACTTGATGTTTCTTCTTTCTTTGGATTTTGTCACTAGCTGTTTGAAGGATCAGAAATCACCCAGCCCTGCAATATATAGGGTTGGGCAATTACTTATCCTTCAAATAATGTCAAATTTCAGTTCCTGATGGTTGCAAATCTAATAGTGAATGATGGTGCGTGTTAAGAGTTATGTTTCCTACTGGTACCACAACTACCATAATATGCCTACCATTATAATTAGTTCTGGCTTTTTGCTACTTGAAAAATGCCATTTTTCAAGCAACTAGTGTTGCTGAAGCATTTTTCTGCACTGAAAGGAAAAAGAGAGTCACTGGAGGAGACTCTGGTCTTGTTTTTCCTTTCAACTTCTACTAACCCATTATGATTGGATGTTATGATTCAGTAAAGGAGCCCAAAGACAGTATAGCCTTCATTACAAGCCTGGAAAGTGAGACTTGTCACAAACATAAACACAAAAATGCAAGCAGTGTAATTTTATTTCACATTTTTGTAGTAGAAAACATTTGCATTTTGGTACAAAAATGAAAGATTGGGAAGAAGCTTTTGTTACTAGCCAACCAACCAACACCAAACAGTTGATTATTTACAGTGCTCTGCTTTTGGTCAGGAGGAACAATGGGTCATTACCACAGTTCTCTGTGAGGGCTACAGATTTACAAATACATCTGCTCCAGTAGTATCTTGTGGTGTGATTATAAAAACAAATTGCAGCATCCTTGTTATTACCAACTGAGAAGGATGCTCCAATTCTTGAGTCGAAGCATTTGAGTGACAGGCTTGTTATCTGCAGATGCTCAAGTTTATGCACCATAGCATAGCCTTTTCCCTACTGCCAAGTGTTCCTCAGACAGTTCATTTCTAGCACAGGAATCTATCATTGAAGACATCTCATAAGAATTCTGCTGTGGGTGCTCTGAATAAATAAGTGAGGCAGTAGTATTTGCTGGTTCTTTCCTCCCTGTAAAATCTGTAGCAAACTGTACCATGGGTACAGAAGGTGGGAACAGGGTAGATACAAGTTCTGGATAGAACTTGGGATGCAAAAAGACCAGTTAATTGAAGAAAATGCCTTCTCTCTTACTCACTCACTGGAATGTTTCAGTGAATGGATTTTTGGAAAACTATTTTTTTTAATGGTTAGCACTTCCCAGGGATGGGATCTGACTGGTATAACTACCGGTTCTGTCTATTAGCATCACAAACTAATACTTACAAGTTTACAACCTGCTGAGCTGCCTGGACAGCTGAGCAGCGCTGTGTGCAAGTGCGCAGTGGTTGGAAAAGCCCTTGTTTCCTGCTTTTTCAACTGCAGCTGTGTTGTGCAAAGCAGCTGCAGTTGAAAAAGCAGGAAATAAAGGTCGGGTAACAGCCCGGGCGGGCAGGTGGGCCAAAATAGCTGCAGACATAGAACCAGTTCTATGTCTGCTGCTCTTCGGAGCAACCGGTTCTACAGAGGTGGACAGAACCGGTAGAAACCCACCCCTGGCACTTCACCAACATCATACTAGACATGTGCAATACAGTTTTCTTAGCAATGTTACAGAAGTTGTGTTACTGAAGTCTGAGGCATGCCTAATTTTTCTGAAGCAGACTACAGGTCTGGAAATTCTTATTAGTTTTCACTTAAGTACCAATTAGGTCTAATCAACCCAGGTCAATTAGTTGCCAACATTTGCTATGACTCCATAAATGAAAGAAGTTCTTAATTCCACAGAAAATATACTCATAATTCAAACTATGTTTGATTGTAGATGGCAGCTTCAGTACATGGGAATTTCAGGCAGTTGTTTGATTGTGACTTTGATACTAGTTAATCATATTTAAAATTTGATATTTTGCAATAGAAACATTCATGTAGTAAATATTTTAATTAGTGCATTATTGGGTTATATTCCATAATAACCATTGATTTATACTTTCCATTTCAAACAGGGTATGAGCTACATGGCATTGAAAACATACCAGATGGACCAGGGCTAATTATTTATTACCATGGAGCGCTTCCCTTGGACTACTTGTATTTTCTGGCTAAAATTTTTATTCTGAAGCGCAGGTGTTGTTACTCAATAGCAGATGATTGTCTTTTCATATTTCCAGGTGATGTTTATAAGTTATATTAATATGTATGATGGTAAAATGTTTCATTCAGTTTGTTTTTCAAAACTTTGGGAAGCTTGAAATATGGATTTTTTATACAATCAGTTTCCTGTGTTGGGAGCCAGTGGCTGTCTTTCTAATTTGCTAAAAATTGTTAGCTAGTATTAGCTATAAAATGATTTAGAAGGATGTTAAACAAAAGAGTAGAAAAAAGTATTGAATCATATTCTTATCTATATATGAAAGTAACAGTTCTACATAGGCCTATGACATAATCTAATCAGTTCTTAGAATAGGTTGCTCATGAAAAGAAAATGAAATAATAGGGAATAGGTCATTAGTAGAAGTGTTACACAAAACTAACCTCAAACAAACATACTGCAGTTCTAGATGTTTTGCAGAACCACTGTTGATGAACTGAGTTTTTAGCATAGAGAACACATGGAACAAACGCTTAGAGTGACCTGAACTGAGTTTAGGGGTAGTGTTTAATTCCTTTAATTCATTTCCACAAACAAGGGAAAAAACTGTAAATTAGGTAGTTCAGGCATAATGCAGCTCATCTTCCATTGGCGTAGTGCTGAATTGCTCTTTTATACTCTAAATTAGGCTCATTTAAAAAAAACACAGTTCCATACAAATTTCAAATTCTCCACACAAGTACATGATTAGGCAACACAGTTAACAAAGTAATATAAAATTATGCTGTGACATTGCCCATTTTTTAGCTTTCTTTTTAAATCTATAGTATGGACACAATTTTTGTATTACTGATTAATTTTCAATGTCTTAATAAATTCTTTAATAATATAAATTTTGAAAATGCTTTTATTTGGCCAAACATGTGAAATATTTCCATAATGACTTACATGTATTAAAAATAATTTAAAAGTATCAGTTTGAAATAGGTTCTGTACCTTTTAACATAGAAAATTAATTAAAAGTACGGTATGTTATTTAATTGAAAGTATATTTTCATAAAACTGATATTTCAGCCTTCAGGTTAAATTAAAATTAAAATAAATAAAGACTAAAAATATCTTTCTCCTTACACAGAAACCCAATCAGACCCACACACTTTAAAATTCTGATTTGATCCCATTACCTTAAGGTAAATCATTAATGCAACTTCAAAGATCTTTACACATAGCATATTATTTATAATATTGCACTTTCTTTCAGGTGTTCATGCATTAACTGGTGTGACAGGTATTATTCAAAATAAAAAGGAAGAGTGTTTAAATGTTCTCAAGAAAGGCAAGCTACTTGGAATTTCTCCAGGAGGAATGAGAGAAGCACTCTTTAGTGATAAATCATACAAGCTCATATGGCATAAACGTAAAGGTTTTGCTCAATTAGCTGTAGATATGAAAGTGGTAAGTATGGTGTTCATATCCTTATTAAATCTTTGCTGAATATGTTTTATCAGACAAAACATGATGTTAAACAACTGGAAAACTTAGTTTTTTTAGAGAAGTATTGTAATAGGTTTTCTTGAGGATAACAGCTCATAAAGTATATTTACTGTAACTGCTGTTTGAGAGTTAAATAAGTACTGTAATGGTAGCCTATTTCATATTTTCCAATTTTGGAACAAAATGAACCATTTTTGACTTACTTCTTCATGGTTATGACAGTAGAACTCTTTTCCTTCAATAACTTAGGTCCATATTGTACTCCCCTCCTGCTTATATCATATATTCTGTGCAGTCGTAGGGTTCAATTTTTTTTACTACCAGTTCTGTGGGCGTGGCTTGGTGGGTGTGGCAGGGGAAGGATTGTGTAAAATCTCCAGTCAGAGGTGGTATTTGCTGGTTGTCCAAACTACTCAAAATTTCCACTACCGGTTCTCCAGAACTGGTCAGAACCTGCTGAATACTACCTTTGCTTCTGTGACTTTACTGCTATGAAAGAAAATATTGTTCTTCCATTATCTTAATGATAAATATTTCAATATATCAAATATTTTCTTAATATTCAATTATTTAACAACTACAATTTTTATATTTTTAAGCCTCTTAGATATTCATTCAATTAAAAAATGAGAAGCCCTGACCTATTCCAAAGGTGTTTTTTTTATTTTGTGTATATATAATAATGATTGATACAGGTATCCAATATGGAGGGAAAGTTCAAAAACATTAAATAATGGCCATTTTAGAATGTTTAATGAAGCTAATCATGCAAATCGAAATAATTTAAAAAAATAGTGGTACCTTGGCACTCAACTGCTTTGAAACTCATCGAATTTGGTACTCAATAAATCTCGATGGGAAAATTTTGTCCTGGTACTCATTGTTTGTTTGGTACTTAACATACAAGCTAGAACTGACAGTGCAGGTTGCCTTGTGACTCATTTTATTATTCCTTATGAGAAAAAACTGTTTGGTACTCATTGTTTCTGGTACTCATCACACCTCCTGGAAACAATGATGAGTACTGAGGTATCACTGTACAGAACTCGGAGAGAAAATTAAATCTCAAACAATTGGATCATTTTTGCTAAGATTCCTAGAATTTCAACTCCTTTTTGTTCCCTGGTGGGTTTTTTTTTTCATTCTATCCCTTCAGACTTTTTTTCATTCTATCCCTTCAGACTTTTTTATTTTTTAATAATCAAGAGTAGGGGAGGCATTCTAATCTTATTCAACCATTTACAGTTCACTTAATTTTTATCCAAAAATAAGTTTACTAAGTTTAGCTATACACTGCAACAAGGCTATCTTACTTGTTAGAACAGAGAATTAAAGTGGGACTTTGTTTCCATTTGTGGTACTCTGGCCAAAATTACCAGCTGATTTTACCATTAGTAGTGAATGCTGCATTTGTCGCAAGCATGACTAAAACTGATAATCTAATTGTTATTATCACCTTATTTAAAAGCATTATGTAAAATTCTCAGTTGACCAAGGCAAGGTAGTTAAGTATCTATGGGTCTATCTGGGACTGACTGTAGCACATAGAAAACAGTGACTTGGATGAAAGGGGAATAAATGAAATCTTCTGTGTCCTCTCTTTGCATAGTCTGAACCTCAACTATGTTCTTTTTGCATAGTCTGAACCGGTCTGCTATCCTTGGTTCATGCTTTTATGAATCTGTTGCTTAGTTACTACTGTGCTGCTCTGATCAGTACATCAATGCAAGTAGGATTGCCCAGATGTTAATGATGCATCCAATGCAGGGCCTTACCTTGCCATGGCACTTCCTCTGCTTGATATTCCTTCCATATCTGTTTCTGCTTCAGGCATTTTTTTCAGGATCTCATCTTTTGGTATCCTCTTACTGATGTACACTTGAATATTCTGAGTTTCATACACAACAATCACTTCGACACCAGATTCCTTCTCTTCTCTTTCTCATCCAAACATTATGAGAAACTTCCAGAACTTTACAGTGGCATGTCCTGCTTTGGCCAGTTCACTATACTGTTAGGGTATTGGATGACTGGCAGGACACACACACATATACATTGATGGTGTGTATCTTGTTCTTCCCATTGTATTGGCTCTTCAGGACTTGTGTTATCCTTTGATGGTACTCAAATGCTGCTGTCTTCTTTGCCTGCCATGTGATTCCCATGTAATTGTGGTATACCAGGTACTTGTAACTGGTGTAAATGTTTGCCATGTGACCTGCTGGTAGTTCTACCCCATCAGTTTTAAATTATCTTCTCTTTTCCATCATACCATAGCTTTCCTGTAAATGAACAACACATGGTGATCAGAAATGAATTATTTTGCAGCAGTAATGGATGCTAGAGTCCAAGGATTGATTAAAACCAAAACCAAACATTTTTTAAAACTTTCTGATTTTTAATAAAAGATTTATTAAACCTGCTTTACAGTGTTTACATTGTTTTACAGGGATTATTGTTGCACTGTAAAACAGAATCAGCAAAAGACTGGAAGATCAGTTGCAACATTACCGAACAACCTTTACAGAATAGTGCTTTTTTGCTGTTAGCTTCTTCTTCCTCCTCTTCTTTTTAAAAAAAATACTCTGGAATCATTGCTAAACTTGAAGCTTCCTGGGAAATCAAAAGAAATGCTTCCAGCAAGGATTTTTTGACAGGAAGGATTACATGACAGCAATTAGCTGCCATGAAAAAAAGATCACATAGAAAATTCTAGGCAATGACTGGAGCAGATTTCCTTGAATTGTATAATACATTTATATTCAGGGATTAAGAAAGCAATGCCTTTTAAATTCTACTGCAGAAATTTGAGACTTCATGTGGGACATGAAAAAGGTAAAGTAATAAAATTTTATTTTCAAATTACATCTATCAAATGAAACCAAAATAATTGAATGATTAGTAAGAGTTTATCCATGCATGGAAGAAAGTTTAAGATGAAAACCAATCTCCAATATAAGAAGAGAGACTAATTAACACTGCACTCAGAATCCAACAATTTTTGACATTTCGGTGATAAGGCTTTGACTTCAGTTTTAACCTAAACAAAGATTAAGTAAATTACAGATGCTCTGTCTTGAGTATACTTCAGAGATTAAATAGTGAGTATCAAAGAGAGTCGTTGTCTTGAAATACATGTGTAAAATACAGAGGTGGTATTCAGCAGGTTCTGACCAGTTCTGGAGAACCAGTAGCAGAAATTTTGAGTAGTTTGGAGAACCAGCAAATACCATCTCTGACTGGAGATTTTACAGTATCCTTCTCTGCCACACCCACCAAGCCCCGCCCACAGAACCGGTAGTGAAAGCACTGAATGTGAAAGCATAGAATGAAAACAACCAATGAGATATCATGTGTGGGCAACAAATCCCAGAGACCATTATTAAAGAGGCCTATGAAATAATTGAGATCATGTGCAACACTAACTTGTTAGTAGAAGAAATGTTTGAGTTAAAGCAGTCTACAGACAATCAAGTGGGACTTACCTACTATTTTTAGAAAATAGAAAATGGGCATGCCAGGAATCCAAAATTCCAGGCTATTGTATATTTCTAGAAACTTGTTTAGACCTCTCATAACTTTTCTTAGAAAAGAAATGAAAAAGAAATATATATGGTCACTCATCAAATAACTGGGTGGCTAGTTAAGTGCTGGAAGATTTGACATAGATGTTTCTCAACAAAGCCATGGGATGGTAGAGATGATGATGGTACAGAAACAAACCTAGGATTATAGAGAACATCATAGCAATTTTAAAAAGTCCCATTGTAATAAATAGGGCTTTTTGTGACCTGTCATATCCACATGGAAGCTATTTACTGAAGGTGCAACAGGAACCTATGAAAGTATTTGCTGCAAGTGTTCAAATTTCCTGTGTGCCATTGACCCTAAAAAGTTCCCTGATTTTTTTTCTGGGTAATAACATTATTGCTTCCATTTTAGAAGGAGTGTTTATTTTAGTACTGCCTGTTCTATATTTATCTGAGTTTCTCTTTATAATTTGTGCTTGGGAAAAAAAGCCATTCTGGTTCATGAGATGCTTACTACATAGGAGGAACACTGTGAATAACCAAATATATTACTGATATTAAACACAGACAAATGTAAGGTATAATCCAGAACTTCCTGCTACATGACTGAATAATTGATTGACATTTAGCATGGGTGATTGACTTGCAATACAAACATTACTACAGTATATTGAACTCTTAGTTTAAGACCGTAACAAAATGTCAATTTTCTTCCCAAAAGAAAAGGGAAAATAAAAAAAGTTTTTCATATCCTTGGAAACAGCCAGGTGTCATTATTTGTATATATTTGTGTTTTCCTTTCTTTTTCTTTATACTTTTCTATCCCTATTCTCTTTTTACTCTTTATCTTTTTTCTTGATTGTTAATTTGTTTTTTTATGTGCATGCTTTGCAAAATGTAATAAAATTATTTGTCCAGACATTACTGTATTATGATTGGTGCTGCTAGCCTTATATTTGTTTTAAGCATATAGAAATTAAAGATTATGCGGCTTAAAGAAATATAAAGAAATACTTTTCTTAAAAAAGAAAAACTCCAGTTAATGAGTGACAATAATTAGGCATACTTTAAGTGCAGATTGAGTCAGAAAAGATAAGAATGTTATGTGTGCATTATAACTAAGCAAGATCAGTAAGAAATTGATACCTGCTCTGTGAAAAGACCTCAGGGTATCAAAATAAGGGCTGCCCAAGAGCTCAATGTTTATCCCAACTTTTGTACAAAGAGTAGCTTAAAATGATGAAGAACTTGGCTCCTCTCATACATATTCAAAACAGCCACCTGTGCTTCTTGGACTAATTCTTCACCTTCTGAATTTTTTATAATAATGTTTTTATAATTTTAAATTTTTTAATTATTCTGATTTTAATGTTTTATTGTATTGATGATATCATGTACTCCCCAGATCCCCTCTCCAAGGGGAAATGGGAGATTAAGAAATATGAAGTACAGGTAGTCCTTGACTTACGACCACAATTGAGTCCAAAACTTCTGTTGCTAAACAAGACAGTTGTCAAATGAGCTTTCCCCCACTTTACAAGTTTCTTTGCCACAGTTGCTAAATGAATCATTGCAGTTCTTAAGTTAATAACACTGTTGTTAAGTGAATCTTGCTTCCTCATTGACTTTTCTTGTCAGAAAGTCACAAATGGTGATCATATGACCTGGGACCCTGCAAACGTCATAAATATGAGCCAGTTGCCAAATGTCTTATTTTTGATCAAGTGACCATAGGGTTGTTGCTATGGTTGTAAGTGTAAAAACGGTCCCAAGTAACTTTTTTCAATCCTGTTGTAACTTCAGTCACTAAATTAATTGTTGGAAATTGAAGACTACCTGTATAATAATAAATAAAAAAATAGAGACTGATGGTCTCTTAATACTTTAATATAATTAAATATTTTTAAACATCTCTCTTTTTTTAGCCTATTATACCCATGTGTACCCAAAATATTCGAGAAGGATATTGGATCTTTGGGCAATCAAGTAAGGCATACTTATATTACATATTTTAATTTGAAATTTATTTGTAGTTCAGTCTATAGCTCTATGTTTTGTATAGCATCTAGATAAGGGTATAAAACACAAAGAGGTCCATAGCCTCATTCTCTTTGTGAAGCAGAGTTTAGCTCAGTTCACGGTTGAGTCCACCAGTGTAATAGAATGATAAACTATTTTTACTCTGTTGCACTTTTAATTGCCTTGATGTTGACAAACTTTTCTTGGGAAACTAAAACAATGTATTGCATGGTACACAGTCACCACTGTGCTTCATAGGTGATTGAAGAGGTTTTCTTGAAGTACAATATAAATGCTGAGTTTGTTGTTTAGCTTCACACCATACCAAACAGTAGCATTTTAGATTGTCAGAGGATCCATAAAAAAATAGATGCTTTGTTTATCCTTTTTCCTATTTGGAAAATGAAGAGGGAAGGTGGGAATCTGCATAATAATTATAGCTTTTAATCACAAGAGTGATATGCATCAAGTCTTCTTCAGAGAGCCTTGCAAAGAGATGTTGTAACCCTATTACAATTTGCTACACCCTATTCTCTGCTCATTGATGATAACTGAAAAGCAATATTTGAAATAAAAATGTAGCAAAGGAAACATTTCCTTTCCATTTCCAGCAAATGAAACAAGCACAGGAAATCAGGAGCCAAGTTGATTCAAATGAATACACGTTTATTGCAGGCTAACACTCTAAAAACCTGAACTATTAATGGTCAGAATGAATTGGTGGTAGATAGTCAACAGAATTCCAGGTGGACTGGACTTAGATCCCTTGTGGGTACAGAGATTTGAAACTGATGATGCACTTGACATCTCCCTCTGGTTCAATCTATCATCTCCTACATGATATCTTGAATTTCTTCCATTGATATATGGAATTTCTTTACATCCCAGATTTCTTATTTATTCATCTAACCCTGAACCTCCCCATCATCTTATGCTATAAATTGTTAATCTGCTTTCTGTCTTGTTAGGACTTAATTGTAGCATTCCCATTCAGAATTTTTGTGGCAGTATGAAATCAGAACCAAATTTATCAGTTCTCACAGTGTTAACTAAGCCAGGAGCTAAACAAATTTATTACTTAGGTCCACCATCCTGCTATGCAATCTCTTTGAATCTTTGCACTGTTGGTAAGCTTCTGATCAGCTTGTTACCCCTTGCAGAAATCTTTCCTTACTTGATTGTTAACTTGATCAGATTATTGGCAAGTTCCTTCAGTATCTAGAATGCAATTAATTTGATCCTGGAAACTTAAAATTCATTCCAAATAAATCCCCCACCATGGTTCTTTGACTTTCAAGCTACAACCCACCTTTTATATTCTGTTTTTTTAAATGGCATTTGAAACATGTCTTTTTGTTGGAAATAAAGAAAACAAGAGATATTCAATAGCAGTCTTTTCTGTATTTTTGTTTTATGTCATATATATCTATATCTATATGTGTATGTATGTCATTTTTTTCATTTTTTAATTATTTTTATACATATAATTTTCTCTTTTGATAAAACTCATTTATTTCTTGATTTTCTTTTATATACTGTATGTTTTCTACTTTCTTATAAAGACTACTCTACTTCTTGAGGACTTATAAACAAGAGAAAAACTATTTGTCTACTTCTTGTAGACAAGAGAAAAACTATTTGTCTATTTCTTATGGAGTTATAAAAAATACTATAAAATAAATTTTTGTATGAAAAATAACAAAGCCATGGGGGAAAGAGTCTAGTAACATTGTTACATGCAATTGTTTCTATTCCTACCTATGGAGAACTCAAATGATACTTGCAATAGGTGTAAATTAGATTACTTGAATAAAAGGTGAAAAATTTAAAGGCAAGTCAAGCCACTAAAACTACTGACACTCCCACACTGAGAACAATTAATCAATGTATAGCTTGTCCCCTGGACCTTTGGGTTCTGCATCACTGAAGTTTTTCAAAAATAGACTGAATAACCATTTGACCACGATAGTATAAGGTGTCTTGCCTTGAGCAGGGGGTTAGTCTAGACCTCCATGGTCCCTTCTAGCCTATGATTCTATTTTCTAATATTGTCAAGACGGCTATTTTTTTTTTTTTTTAGCTTACATTAGTTTGTAACAACATTCAGAGTGAATTTCTGTTTCTTGTTTATAAATTCAAGAGTACAGGAAGAGTTTACTTAGATCAGGACTGATAGACCAGTGGTTCTTATTACATTGGTACATGCTATTCCTAGTAACCAAACCTACTGATATTTCTTAACTATAAATTGCTGCTGAGAAAATTGTTGCTTTAACGTTTAATGAAAGGTCCTAATCTTGTCTTAAGTTTTTATATTTCTGCTTCTTTATTAACGCTAACTCAGTGTGAAGAACATCCCATTCGGATAGCAGATAATCTGATATGCTGAAAAAGGAGGACATCCTCAGGCATAAGAGTACCAATAGCACCTCCAGATATTATCTATAGATCTTTCAAATTACATTTTTAATATTACTAAAATCTAGCAGCTGAAAAGACGATCATGCCCCGCCTTAGAAGAATTGTGTTGGCAGTTTTCATCTTAAATTATACTAATAAAGTAAAATCAAGTAGAGAAAGATTATATTCTTGAGATAGGATTCTCAATGCTAAGCAAATTTATAATTCTTGTAGTTCCTATGAAGAAAACAGTATGATTTAAGGCATAAACATGTAACAAAACTGAGTCTTAAGAGTGTAAGAATCTTGAGTCAGATTCTATCTCTCACAGATCTCTAAGTTGAATGTGTAAGCATATATAATTATTTTAAAAATAGCAGTTTTTATTTTGAAAAAAAAAAAAAGAGTAAATCAAACTGCAATAGCAATAGCACTTAGACTTATACACCACTTTATAGCACCTTATAGCCCTCTCAAAACAGTTTACAGAGTCAGTATATTGCCCGCAACAATTTGGGTCATTTTACCCACCTCGGAAAGATGGAAGGTTGAGTCAACCTTGAGCCTGGTGGGATTCGATCTGCCAAATTGCAGTAGTAGTAGCTTGCAGTACTGCACTCTAACCACTGCGCCCCGAGGCTCCTCTAATAAGCACATAAATTTCTGTCTGTGGGATTTTTTCCCTTTGCAGAGTATTTTCATAATTACTAGTTTAATTGCCCATGTAATCAATTATTTAGCTAAAATACTGTCTTTTGAATCTAAAGGTAGAGGCATAGTATATGGGCATCTGCTAATTCAAATGTTAACAAAGAGAAACTGACTATATTCTGGTGAAATCTTGGTTGAATCCAGAGGAAGCCTTAGGTAAATTAAGCATTGCCTGAGGAAGGTCTTAAGGAAAAGCAGTCTTCCCTATGTCCCTTTTCTCTTTGGTCCCAGGCTTCTTCTGAAGTCCAATGTCTATAAAAGCTCTTCATAAAACTTTTCTAATTGTGAAATAACCAGCCAACATGCAGCCCAGGAGATAGAGAATATGGTCTCTTACAGCAATGTTTTCCTATGTTAATCTGCTATACAGATTACTTGTTCTCCATCTGAAACAATGGATTTTTTTCAAAACCCCTTTTAAGGGAGTGAATTTAGGATGCAATACTAAATAGAAACCCATGTTTTAATCTTTTGCTTGCACAGAAATTGTGTGTGCATGTGTGTGCGCGCACGCGCGTATATGCAGGTGTGTTATTTTTATTTAAATGATTAGCTTGATGACTATATTGCAGCTGAAGAGCAACTACAGTTCTATAAAGTGATTCCAATAACATGTAGTTTAGATATTTAATCTGATTCAAATTATGTTTTAGTTTTAACTTCTTTCTTTCACAGGAGCTTTAGCTAGGAGGCTATATGAATATAGCCGAATCCCCTTACTTCCAGTGTGCGGTGGACTTCCAGTCAAATTTCGTACTTACATTGGAGAACCCATTCTGTATAATCCAAATGTAACTGCTGAGGAATTAGCTGCAAAAGTATGATTTGTTTATCAGTTTAAACATCTTCAATTCTTGCTTAATTGTCAGCAAATTTCAAGAATATATTTTAAATTAATGTACAACATTAATTTAACGTCTCATAGCTTTTTATAAGAGTAATATAATTCAAATTATTCCTGGAAAAGTATTTTCTTTTTGTATTTTTAAAACAGTGCTAGTAAGATCTAGTCATGATCAAATTCTGTTACTAAATTGTGGAAATTACACTTTATTTTATATTTTATTTTGTTATTTTATCATCTTTATTACTTTTTCACTTTCTATAGCTGTCCATTTCATTCTGATTCTGGCCAGTTTACAACTCAAAAAATAGATTACAGTTAAAAAACTAAAAACATTTTAAAACAATAAGAAACAATAAAAACATTAAAAAATATATACATAGCAGATGAGATACCTGGCCAGTTAGCAATACAACCAGGAAATGGCACCCTTAACGCATTCAAGACTCCAGGTTTATTTATAGATTAATGTTATGATTTATAGATTAATGTAAAGCTATTATGCCTTCATAAATCTATAGTTACAATTAGTGATGTTTTTTTATTATGTATTTATTATGAAACTGATATGCCACCCATCTTACCAAAAGGGAACTTTAGGTGGCTTAGTAAAAGAAATATAGTGATAATATTAAAATATTTCATAAAGCCCCTTGGGGCATCAGGCCAATTGGCAGAGCAAGATTCTCAGGCTCTTGTTTTGAAAACCAAGCGTTGGGTGCTGATCTTTCACAACTGATCCCTATTTTTCTCAGCACCCAAACCCACACAAAACTGCCTCCTGAAGTCTCACAAAGAGCAGCCACCCAGGGTATATATGCACAATCTCTTGCCTTCTCTTTATCCAGAGAGATTCTAAGGAACTGGTCTTCTCACCAATTCCTTGGATTTACCATGGCCATTGGCTTTGTGAAATTCAGTTCTCCATACCTCCTCTGGAGGCGCCCAAATTAGTGGTGCCTTATTGAAGTCCATGAATGCAATTGCAGTTATTCTATCGTTACCTCCTTGTTAGGGTTTCGATAGTAACAAATATATTTAGAAGTCTCAATTCTTTATAAATTTAGTTGGGGAAATAAAGTGGCTGCATAATAACAAACTTGATGTTAAATTTACACAATCGCCGGGCTTACTTAATGCCTTACTTACACAATGCCTTACTTAAAGAAAATCCTGACATCCAAACAGGCTATCCATCACCAAAAATGGTGGAAGACACAAGCCAACAGAAGGCTGAAGCCATATTCTTTTAATATAGAGCCTGTTTTCTGTGGTTTCTGAAAGCAACAAGTTGCCCCAGTAGTTCACTAGTTTAAGGAAGGAGAATACCACCTGCCACTCCTAGCAACAGGTAGCCAGTTTGTACATATGAAATTCAACTTAAATACAAAATCAGGTTAAAGACAGAGTTAAGAATGGAATGTTTTCTTAACCAGAAGGCTGCCTGTACTCCTAGCTAATGCATGTCCATAAGAGTAATAAATAATCATTGGAAGGAAATCTTTGTAAAAATTCTGGAAACAGTAGGAGGTAAAATATTTTATTTCCAATATGGATTCCTGGCCAGTTCTCAGAGGCTACCTAGGTTTCTTGCAGTGACAGTTGGTTAGGAAGTCTGGCACTTAATTAATTTCAAAGACGTACTTATTCAAAAACACTGAAGTAAGCATATTTTAGCAAGCGATTCCATATTAAAAATTATGATACATTGTTTTATAAATTATATTGATAAACTTTGGAGAATGCTTTAAAAACAAACATAAAAAACCATCACATTGAAGCCAGCCTATCTGCCTCAGCAGCCCATATTTAGGACTCCAAATGTATTAAGGCAAATATAATCAATTTAATTAAACAATTTCTAAAATTAAATTTAGTTTGGAGCTTCCCGTTAGTGTATCCATTCATAAACTTGTTTGAAACAAACAAAATATCTAAGCTACTTAAATTATATTGTATCGTTTACACTTTTAAAAGGCTTATTAAGTATAATATATAAATAAAGGTTGAAATATGTATTTGGAGCTACTCTTTTTTTCTTTTAATACTATAGCAGTATACATATTACATGGGTAAATACATGTAGCTATTAGACAGCACTGTGAAAATTAGGTGTTTAGCAGATAGCACAATGGAAAAAACTGTCCCTGTGTCTAGTTATTTTGGTATGTAATGCCCTATAGCACTGTCCCAAAGGGAAGAAACAGTTTAAATTCAGGATGTGAGGGTTCTATAGATATATTTTCAGCCTCCTTGCGCAATATACAGGTCTTCTATGGAAAGCAGACTGCTTGCAATTGTTAATTCTGCAGTCTTTCAATTGGAATATCTAACTGTCCTATTTAGTTGCTGTACCAGTATAGAAGTATAAATGACAAGATTTAATAATTCCTCTGTAAAACTGTGTCAAACCCCCGGGGCAGCTTGAATTTCCTGAGCTGATGCAGGAAGAACATTTTTTTATTGTGCCTTTCTAATAATGGTTCTAATGTTAAGTGTCCACCTCAAGTACTTGGATTATAGAATCACAAAACCTGAAGAACTATACTGCTGATACTTTTGTCAAATATAGTAAGAGGTGGTAGAATAAAAGGACTTTATTTAAATATATATATAAAAAAGAAGAGTTGTAATCTTCTTAGATTTATAAGAGTCATAGACCTTATTTAGTCTAGATCTGGGAATTGGAGAAGGGACCCCCAAATAACTTATCAAAATATTTCCAGTCTGTATACTTTTCTATGAAAATTAAAAAGTTAAACAGCAGCCATACTTTGATATAATGCCTCTATTTGTTCCGAACCTCTTGGGGCCACAGAACAAAGGATTGGGCTTAGATAGTACTTGGATTTGAGAGTACCAGGATGTTTCTTTCATAAATTTATCATTTATTCTTCTAGTGAACCCTTATTACCAATATAATTGTGATAATGAAATGTTTTATCATTTCTTCCTTTTTCTTTACTTTCATTTTCAGACCAAAATTGCACTCCAGTCATTAATTAGAAAGCACCAGCAAATTCCTGGAAGCATCTGCCGGGCTTTATTGGAAAGATTTCACAAAGAAAAGAAAAAGGAGTAAATTGGTCAAATGTTTTAAGCCAAGTGAGGCAGCACACTGCTAATTATGATTTTGACAATCATACAGGATATCAAAAAAATTAATTTATATTATTTTCTAATTTAGTATTGTATTTTTTTTGGCAAAAAAAGGATAAAATGTGATTTTTTTTCATTTGCATGCAAAAAGTACTTGAATAGCTGTTTATAAGGCTTTTAAAACATGGGTGTATTTTAAGGTTAAAGTGTTACTTAGAGACTGATGTGCTTACGGGTAGGTCATGATTAGTGAATGATACAAGACTAGACTGAGTTGCAATTTGTGAAGTTGCATATAAGGGGATCCAAAAATCAGTTAAGGCGAGGCTACACATGTGCAATTGTAGTGGTGATTTTAGACACTCTTCATCTGCAAAATGGATAAAAGGCAGAGTCTGTCAAAGAAATACAGTGCAAGTGTAATTAGAACAAATATTGCTGTAATTGAATGACATGAACATAATCATAGCAATCCTAAATTAGGATTAATTTAGGAATAATTATTTTTTGTTTTCTATAATTATTCTGTAATTTTATTAAATATATGAATTTGAATAATGGAAACATTTCATTGGATTCATTAAGCACACTAATCAATAATACTTTTTAGACTGATTTGTTTTCTTGGCTGCTGTTTATATTGTGCATTTCACTACTGTATTGTTTTTAAACATTGTAAGACATCCAGAATTGCTAATGTGAGATACAGCAGTTGTATAAATCCAAGAAATATTTTTAAAAAAATATTAAAATTATATTGAATGCCATCTGTGTTGTGCTTCACTGCAATATATATTGGAGTGGACCCATCAATATATATTTAATGGTGGACTTCCGGTTTGCAAGGCTTCAGCAGTGGCAGGAATCCGCGATCGTGCGCGGTCCGCTGGAGTGCCCCCGATCCAGCTGGATTTGGGGGCTAACAGTTACCCTGTAGAGGTAACTGAAGATAGGGGAGATCCAGCAGGGGTCTGGGGGAATCGCAACCCCCTTCCTCAGCTGGCTTAACTCCCTTTTCCAAAAGCGGTGGAGCGGCAGTCATATATATATATATATATATATATATATATGTATGTATGTGTGTGTGTGTGTGTGTGTATCTTTGGTTATTCGGGTTTTCTCCCACGTAAGATTGGAAGTATCTAGGCAACGTTTCGATGAAGTCTCATTCATCCTCTTCAGGCTTGTGTCTTCGGCTCTGTGCTTCTCAGAGTGATGTGAGCTGCAAGCTACAGAAGCCTGATGATGGCAGATGAGATTCTGCTGAAACGTTGCTACAACTTTAAAAGCACAACTACTATGACGTGGGAAAATACCCGAGCAAAGCCGAATGCCATACATGTAAGTACCCGCGAAAACTTAAGAAAAATATATATATATATATGTATGTGTGTGTGTGTGTGTGTATATATATATATATATATATATATATATATATATATATATATATGTATGTATATGTATGTGTATGTGTATGTGTATGTGTATGTGTGTATATATGTGAAGCAGGCAATCTTTTTAGGCGATCTTGAAACAATATTTCACCATACATTTTTAAATTTTATGGGATGTATTTTGAGTGGAAGGAATTTTTAGACAATTTTGTTTGTATTAATCATATTCAAACTGATGGTCTGTCTGGAAAAGCATGTACAGCAGGCTGGTACAAGACATGGCCTGCATATTTCTTTTAATAATAAAAAAATAATTTTACTTCTATCAGGAATGATCTGCAACCATTACCACACTGTTTCAACACATCTAAGCTTACCAATGCCACCAGCTCTGTTGCTGCTCTACCAGCCATCAGACTGGTACTTCTAAACTTACAGCAGTCCACTTAGTGACCGTTCAAATTCACAATGGCACTGAAAAAAGTAATTTATGAGTTTTTCACACCACTGTAGTAGCATCCTCATGGTCACATGATCAAAACTGGGACACTTGGGAACTGACTTTTATGACTATTGCAGTGTCATGTGATTACCTTTTGTGACCTTCTGACAGTCAATGGGAAAACCAGATTCAATTACTAATTTGACAATTGAAGTGATTCACTTAACTGACAAAAAAGGTTATAAAATGGGGGGAAAATGCACTTAACAAATGTTTCAGTTAACAACAAATGTTTTGGACTCAATTATGGTTGTAAGTTGAGGAGTACCTGTAATTAGCATACCAGCTATTTCTTTGCAGACAGCTAATATTTTTAATTTAGTAACATGGCCCGTTTCCATCTACAACTTATGTAGCTCTGATGTAGCAGGTTACCAAATAGTCTTAAGAAAGGACTTCAGCAGACATTTTGGCTGATAAACGAATAAAAAAGCTGAAATAAAGCTACTGACATTGGGCTTTGTAAGATAATGTATTTATGGATGCTTCTTTCATTAGTAATTGGAATTATCCTTTAGTCATGTTGTTAATCTTTATATTTATGAATAAATTGAGATATTCTAAAACATTCAGTATATGCAGCAAAAAAATGTTGCAAATCAGACACTTGACCATGGAGCACTACATTGAATGGGTTGCATACACCTGAAATGTAGTCAAATGATTGTGGGGCTATTGTGTGACAAAGTAACCTTTTGGAGGCCATCATAACTTCAAATGGTCATTAAGCAACCAGGCATTAATCGAAGACTACCTGTAATTTTTCCAGTAATATTTCATTTAAGACGAATGAAAAGGTAGAAAGACTATCAGGGTTTCAGCTAAGATGCAAAGTGAGGCAGAGGCTTTTAAAGCATGTCAAGTATTGGTAAAATATAGTTAATAGCAGCCATTATATGTGGAAACCTAAGTACAGTAACGAGAGCTCATTTTAAGTGTTATTTTAATGTTCCAATTATAGAAATATCTCTTAACTATTTAAATGAAGGCGGGAACATTGTTATTTCATTCCACTCTGGCCACACTTGCTTTTTCAGAACTGCCTTCCTGTTCCTAGGAAAAGAAACAACAAAAGGCAAGACATCAGGAAAAGAGGGGAAATGTGTCTTCTCATCCTTTCCTCCCCAGACCGCAGAATGCTTTACCTGGAATTCCATTTTCTCCCTATCGCTCTCCTTGTTGACTTGTAGGTCAAAGCTCTGAGCATGAGCTGATGCTTCTCTGCCTAACACCCCTTGCAGGGCCATTCAGGACTACTAGAGGTCTAACTAGATATTTGGATAGTTATGGAAATTCCATGTGATAAAGCTGGGGCCAGCAGGTCTTTTGATACAGATTATACCACTATCTTCCCTTCTGTTCCTGCAACCCATGGTCGGTTAAGAGAAATGAGGATAAGTGAGGCATTCCTGCAGCAACTCAGTAATAGTAAACTTACTATGTTTTTCTAGAGACCTCCAATTCATGCTCAGCAGCAGCACTCTGAAGTGGAATCAGAAAAGGGAGAGATGATAGTCTTCTGGTCAGTTATGTGGGTATCTTCTTGCTAGAGCAATTTAAAAGGTACACAAGCCAAAAGGTTTTAGGCTCATCTGCTTCATTCTGAATTGTAACAGTTTTACTAATTCAAGGTCTTGGTCCAGAAACCGAATATAAGCAACAGAAGACATTGTAATCTAAAATAACTGCCTACAGAAGATTGTGCAGTAAATACGAAATATAAAAGCAGATAAAACAGACCTTCCCCAATTATAACATAAAGGTCATAACTTATTCACGCCCCGTCGAACAAAAGCGCCAAGCAAACGAAAAACAGGAAGAAACAAAACGAGCATGCGCTGTCTTTTCGGTAGCGTCCAGGGACCTCGGGACTTGATAGAGCCAGAAATTAGTAGAGTGACAAGACGATAGACTACCATAAGTAACAGGCTCCGATCTGTTTTTTTTTTTTTTTGGTATTCATTGAAAGAGGTCGCTTGCCTCCTAATTCAGAGTCTTGTGCCCACGTAGGTTAATTACAGACCAGGCAACGTACTTAATTCATTAAACCACAATTTGGGTACACGGATTGGCCAATTCGTGCAACACGCTTTCATTTCATCTGTGGACCAAAGGGGCGGCGCCAACAACATTGTAGAAGGATACAACTGGAATGGGGTAAACCGGTATCCTGTCTGGAGCTTGTGGGCGAAGGGGAGATATCGGGGTAACTCGTTCATTTAATTCGGTCCCACTTAAGGGTGGTTTCACGCCGGCCGCCTTTCCCGCCCTTTGTAGAAAGACAGCGGATCTCTACCACGCACCTACTTATGGCGAGCCCTCCGAGGCGCGTGCTTGCATGGGAAGCACGGTAGGGAAGGAGGCTGGTTGGGCTCCCTTGCTTCAAAGGAGCCTCGGTGCCCAGTCGAAGCGCGCACTCCCAATACCGCCCTTCTGGGGGTGGGGAGAAAAAGCTGAAGGAAAGCTCGGGTCTTTCGGAAGGCGAAGCGTTTGCTGTCTTTGAAAGAGAGCGAGGGTGTCGGACGGGCCGGTTTTCCTGGTTGAATTGATCCGGGTTAGTGAATGCCGGCCGGTGAGGGGGACAGCACTGGCATTGGGTTGTTTTCGGTTGACCGGCGGCGGCTCTGTGACCAAAGCCTTTTCCCCACCCTCTTGATTCCCGCGGAGCTCCGGACCTTTCCCTGTCCGTCTGTCCTGAAGCTCTTCTCTGTGGTTCCCTACTCCCCGGTCAGAAGAAAATCCTGCCGATACAACCTGACGGGAGACGGTTCTGCTTCTTGAAGGCTCCCAGGAAAATTCGTTATAAAGGCGAGAGCCCCGAGGGTGTTCTTCCGCTGCCGCTTGGAGAGTAATCCTCCGGATGCCGGTGTGAAGAAACGGTCATATTCAAAACTTTGCAGGCCTTACTTTTGTTAGGATTTTGGTAGGGTCAAAGGAAAAACAAATGAAGGCACTTCTTCTTTTCTCAGCTCACCCCGGCTTTAGTATTAAAATGTGAATCTACTCCTTTATAGGACAAGTGAATCTGGAGAAGAATCAGTACCGGCCACAGATTTTGGAAGAGCTGAGGAGAAGCTGCATCTGATCACCTTTCTTGAAATTAAGCATATCCAACAGGCAGTTTTCCCTGTCTGTTACCCTCCTGATGAGTTGCAACATTAATTCTACCCAGTAAGCATGACCAGCCAGTAATCCCAGGTGGAGGAAAACCATCAAAGAATATTTATTTTTATTTATTTATTTTATTTGTCAAGTGATTATAAAGATAACAGGTATAAGTATAAACATAGTTATGAATACATGAAATGGATACATATAAGAAAAATAAAAACGAACAGTAGAACAGGGATGGTTGGTGCTCTCTTATTTCCCAATGGACCTAGATTATTTAATGCATGTATCAATCAGAACAGATCTTGACTTGCTCAGTACAAATGTTCCCAAAATAATTTCTGACAAGTGGCAATGCTGCCCCTGTCCAAAACCTGCCAATCATGAACAAATTTATTGTGTATACATATTCAGTTTCTTGACTGATGTTGCCACTAATAGCCCAGAAAAAATTATGTGGTAATAATTTGGAAATTTTTAAGGTGCCACAGGATTCTTTGTGGTTCTGTTGTAAGGAAGCAAACTTTTCAAACTTTTATAGATAAATTGGCAAGCAGAGATAGGTCGTTTCAAGAACATTATCACCAATTCAGTCTCCTGAGTGTTCAATAGTTTGGCCTTGCATGAATTGGACTATTGTGTATAAAAAGCATATTTAAAAATAAGAGTATGTTCTTACATTTGTAGGAATGTGGGTTTGACTTTTTATATCTTCTTGGATATTAGAAGTTGCATTGCTTGAAGTGATTTCCTTTTGATACAGTGAAGAGTGATATGTGAGTACAATATTAAAATAAGGGATCACACCAAAGCTTTGCATAATATTTGTTACAAAACCCGTATTGCTATTTAGTAGTACTTGAAGTTAGAATCAAGAATTTCAAGCTAAGCAAGTATGTCAAAATCTCAAATATGTTTTTCTTATGTATGGTACACTTGGCCATATAATCATGATAAACATGACTATAGTTTATGTTTATTTATTATATACAATGTGGTATATTCTGCCATTCTATAATCATTTGTTTGGAATTAAGCTTTATTAAGTTTAATTGTACTCATTTCTTAGGAGATGTGTAGATTAACATTCTTTCATTTTTCTCTCTAATGATTCGAATTAATAATTATAAGTCAAAGTAACAATTCAAGGACAAATATACGATAGTCTAGACTTTTAAATGCTTTGTTTTATTTCCTTTTTTAAACAGAACATGATACACCAAAATGAATCCTGTGGTACAGAACAGATATCCATATCCTATTTATCATGCATACTTTATATATTAGAAGAATGGACTGGAGTGGAACGCTTGGGAGAATATCTGAGTTACCTCATTTATCTCACATGGTTATTTATGCCACTACTGTTAGGTTTTCTGCTTCCAGCTGTTATTCTCCTTCTCCTTTATATTTCTGCTATCATTGTTCATATTTACAAAAGAAAGACAGACATAAAAGAAGGTTATTTGAATGATTTCTGGGATGGTGCAAGACAAATGTTAGCAACTATGTGGTATGCTCACGCAAGAATATGGAATGGTAAGTATCCCACCATTCTTGGGCATGACAGTTGTGAACCAAATTATCAGTCTGAAGGGCAAGAAATATCATGTGCCTGCAACTAAGAACAGGTGGGACCATTAAAAAGATAAAATCATAGTAAATGAAGAAAATAAATTAGGACTTTAGAATTCGAGCAGTCAAGCACCTGCCACGTAACAACTCACTGACTGTGCAGCAAACCAATAATAATATAGTTCTAAGAGATTCACCATTTGGATTCCCTCTTTTGGTCTTGTTTGCTAAGAGGAAAGCCATTACATTTTTTCTGTCGGCTATATTTACTTCCTATATAGAATATGAATAATTTTGAAAATGTTTTTAAAATATATTATTTATCACAAAATGACCAAGATTTTGTGAAACTGGATTAATTGCTATACAAGAAGCTAACAAATTCAGTTTATGTTAATTTATGATTTTGGTATCTTTGTAAACTATGTAAATAAACCATGTAATCCAGAATCAATTATTTTTCATCAGCTAGCCCAATTTCATTTTGATGATAATTCTTCAAAACAAGAAGGCCATATATCTGTTTGGCATGAGTTAACATGCCAACATATCTGATTGGCATGAATGAATCACTGAACATTAATACAAAGATGTTCAACTGAAGTGGGGTTGTAATGTAACGAATAACTGCCATGCATTGTAATGTATTTATAGTTGATATCTTACTTAGCAGTTTCATAATTTTAATATCTCAATAATATTTTGTTAAATTAACTTGGTATGAAATGCTAACCTTGAATGTTTTTGTCCATAACAGGTTATGAGGTGCACGGTCTTGAAAAACTACCAAATGGGCCAGCACTAATTATCTTTTATCATGGAGCAACTCCCATAGACTTTTTCTACTTGGTAGCCACTATTTTAATCAAGAAAAAAAGAATCCTCCATATAGTTGCTGATCATTTTGTGTTTTCAATTCCAGGTATTTGTCCTGAGCAATTAAGAAAAATTATACATCTCAGATAATGTACTGTATGGATAAGCTTTAATTCATATTTAGGTTGTGTTATATACTGGAAGATAGCAGTAAACTACTGTACTTTTCAGACTATAAGATGCTTCAAAGTATAAGATGTACCTAGTTTTTGGGGAGGAAAACAAGGGGGAAAAAATCTGCCTCCCAGCAATTTGCCTCCTTGCAGCAAACATCCTGGTCAGCTTCAGCACAGCCTGATTTAGCACAAGCAGCTGATTGTCGGATGGAACTGCCTTCCGATGATCAGCTGTTTCGGGCTGCAGTGATCGCTATCGCCTATTGCCACCTTTCTGCACCTCATTTTCGGCCTCCGCATTCTGTTTTTGGCCTCCGTATGCCATTTTCGGCCTGCTCCAGGTGGCAGGATCAGATAGGGCCAAAAACAGGGTGTGGAGGCAGAAAATGGGGATTGCAGAGGTGGCAATAGGCAATGGCGATCCCTGCAGCCTGAAACAGTTGATCGTAGGGAGGCAGACCCAACCAATAATCAGCTGCTTGTGCTAAATCAGGCTGTGCTAAAGCTGACCAGGATGTTTGCTGTTTGCTGCAAGGAGGCAAATTGCTGGGTGTCAGAGGCCCTAAGCGTGGGAACCGGTGGGTGGGCAGTGCTTTGGCAACATTTGCTGTATAAGGTGCATAGTCGTTTCCACTCACTTTTTGGGGAGGGGAAATGCATCTTACATACCGAAAAATATGGTAAATTATTTTCTTATTTTAAATAAATCATTTCAGTTACTAATTAATAAAGTATTTTGGCTTAAGATTTAATTTCCTATCCTGAAGTCTTATACAGTTGCCCTCTATTTAAAAGAAAAATGGATTCCCATGAAACTTAGGTATACCATTGTATTGGCTTTGGATTTCAAATTTCTTATCATGAAGCCTTTTGTAGCTACCTTATAGTTAAATTGTTTCTGGGTAGTGATAGTTGAGAGAAAGTGCTTTTTAAATAATCAATACAATGTAGACGTTATAGAAGAAAATATATACTGCACAAACTATATAACAATATCTTATTATTGGATGTTAATTGGTAGATTTCTTATCAGGATAAATTTTCATTATAAAAAAATATAAATTTATAATTCTTATCACTGATTCTTGATTTGAAAGTATTTTGATTAGATATGGATTGATGAAAATCTAATCCTTTTTGTCTTTCTCATAATTTACACCTTTGTAACTATTCTATATTTTTCTGATAAAATATAGTATCTATGGAGATCATAATTTTATATCAATATTAGTCTTACAACAGATTCTTATGAATTTCAGGTATACAGTTATTAATTAATGTGTTCCATGTTCTGCATGGAACTCAGGAAGAATGTAAAAAAATATTAGAAAATGGAGGACTGGTGGTAATTTCACCAGGGGGAGTACGGGAAGCACTGTTCAGTGACGAAAATTATACTATTATGTGGAAAAATCGTAAAGGATTTGCTCAAGTGGCCACTGAAGCAAAAGTGGTAAGTATTTTGTGGGAATAACTAAAATATATGATTACAGGTGTTTATGTATGACAGGCTTAGAAGCATGGAAAGGAAAATATTAATGTTAAAAACCGTGTAGTTTTTTAAAAAATAATGTATTTTTTACTTTATACATCACTATCAGGGCTGTTGAGGTGAGGGAAGAGAAAGAGACACACAAGTAGACTGTATCTATAGAGTTTATTTACAGTGTTTCTTTGCTTCTGTAGAATCTGAGGTATCAGGTTCTACTTACTCCGATTTAAAAAAATAATAATTTCCACATATTTCTAGAAAGTAATGAAATGTGTTCCTTGAGCATGTTAGTTTCTGTATTGATTTGGTATGCTTCCTTATGTAAACCAATTTAATTTACATTTTAATTACTTAATACAGGGATGTCAAACTCACATTGTCACGGCAGTGTCACGTGACGTATCGGGACTTTTTCCCCCTTTGCTAAACCAGGTGACGGTAGAGCCAGCATGTGACACATCCGGCCCTGGGGCCATGAGTTTAACACCCCCAACTTAATATATTATTTTTAAAAAATCAATTAAAAATAATTCATTTTTTCAAATTTCTTCAACTTTTCAGAAAAAAAGTTAGGAGAAAAGTGGTTTTGCCATTGGGCCATGCATGGGAAAGGAGCTGTTTTCTAGTCTGCTCCTCTGTTTGGCTTTTCTTGCCATATAAAAACAGCTGATGTAATCCTTCTATAACTGTATATACATTTTTTAAAAAGTCATTACTATTTATGCATTAAAAAGGGCAAGGTGAGAATGTATCTGTTCAGATTTCTCAATACAAATTTCCCATAATATTTATATAAATGCTATGGCATTATGTCATGTGGTAATTTTTACTTAACACTAGGTTAATGCTAATTAGCAGCTTACATTGAACAATTCAAATACTGGTACTCCCAAATCTTATGAATCAAATTCTAATATACTCTTTCTGGGGCTTATCTTATATTTCCTTTGGTTGGTATGATGCTTTTGTAGGGACAAGTGCATCACTTTCAAATGCAGAGTCTTCACAGGGATATATTGGAATGCCAGCTGGCATCAGCAGACTCCCTGTTTTTTAAAGCACTGAAGCAGATACAGCCTTCAGAAGCTTCTGTGGGTTTTCAGGAACCTTCCCAGATGTATATGCACAGCTGCTTTGTTTTGACGGTATTGCCACTTAAAGTATTGCTTCACATACATTTGTAGACAACCTAAGAAATTCTTCAAGTTGTCTGAGCTTCCAGACACAGCCGCTGAATGAATGCTTTCAAGCATGTGCTAATAGATTTTGAAAAATGCCTTTCCCATTCTTAATGCAGATAAAATGATTATTACCAGCATCTCAGATTTCTCCATAACGACTTTGATGAAAGAGGGACATTTGACAAGATCTTAGATAATTTTCTATTTTGTTAATTGCTTGCAGGAAAAGGTTGCTTTTCTCAAATATGGAGAACTTCATACATAAAATTGCAGGTATATAGAGCAGTGCAAAAAATTAATTTGCTTAACATTCTAGCTCAAATATTCTCAGAATGCAGACCTATAATCCCTATAAATTGAAGACTAAAGTTGCAATAATGGGAGACTTATCTAACTTTGTAGTGAGAAGGTTGGATTCAGAATGACTAACAAATTCCCTGTAAGTTACAAAATTCACCCACTGAGTGCTTGCAGAAAAAGAAAAGGATACTTTAGTTTCTTGGATCAACTACTAGATGGAAATGTGACTAAGAAATATTTCCCTATACTTCTTTCTCTTCGATTTTATCTGCTTTTTGATCCAAGTATATAACTTTGTGATTTAGTAAAAAAAATCAGTTGATTATGAGACATAAATTATTAAAAGATATCTCCATTAATCTTTCAGCCCATCATTCCTATGTTCACACGAAATATTCGGGAAAATATTCGAATAGTTGGAGGACAAATAAGTATGCAACTTTATTTGGATTGTATTGTATTATCAATTATAATTACATTTTGTTCACCCTGATTAGAGTCATTTTGAAATGATTTTAAATAAAATGCTATGGTTTTTATTAATGTGTTCTAATATCTAAATAAGTTGCTTGGCTTGTTCTACAAGAGAAAACTGTTATTATTTCATTTATATATTGTCTTTCTGCATCAGCTGAAAGCAACATACCTGTTTTTAATGACAGATCAACAATACTGTGGAATATATGAATCTGTCTCAATGTAAAGTTGTCCTGAGATCTGCATAAAGGACAGACACACAATTAAGTATGGATATGTAGAATTTGTTGGTTGTTCTGCATGACAATAGAGAATTTTTTATCATTTGCTTTTGAGGTTTGATATTTCTCTTTGAGAGATTAGTTTTACAAAATAAAAACCTGAAAACATCGACAAACTCAATTACAAAGGCTGTTTAGTATAGTGGTTAAGGTGATTGACTAGAAACTGGACCACTCTGAGTTCTAGTATTCTTTTCAGCATAAAACCCAATCAGGTTATTGTAGCTCAGTCTCTCATATCACAGGATTGTTGTGGGGAAAATATGAGGCATCAACATTATGTCAAGTACCTTTGCTGTATAAAATGAAACAGATACAAATCAAAATTATTGACAAATTTAACTCATAAGAACAGTTCTTCTTGATCAAGCAAGAAGCAGCCATTTAGTAGCCAACTGATACATCTACAGCAGGGGTGTCAAACTTGATTTCATTGAGGGCCGCATCAGGGTTGTGTTTGGCCTTGGGGGACTGCGGTGGGCGTGGCTAGGGTGGGCATGGCCAGCTTGAAATCACTCGTGTCTGGGCACCTGTGCTGACCTGAGCTCTGCCAGTGAAAACGGGCTTCTGAGTTCCATTTTTGGCTGCAGCGGCCTCCTGCAATGCTCTAATGCAAAAGTCAAGATGATGGCACTAACTTGCTGTTCAGATTTGTGTTAGGAAGCTATTTTATACAGATTTGTGATTGAATTAGTACTTTTTGGATTTTTTAAAATGAACAAGTGGGTAAAAATACATAATTGTTCCTGCTACCCTATTAACCCCTCTTTTTTTAATTAATCAGAATTATTAAGATCGATATATGAGTATTTTCGTTTGCCACCAGTTCTTCTGTATGGAAACTTTCCAGTTAAATTGAAGACATATTTGGGAGATCCTATTCTATATGATCCAAACATAACAGCAGAAGAACTGACAGAAAAAGTAAGATCTTCCTTTTTGAATATTAATAGCTCACAAGATTACAATGAAGACTCCTGGATGTATTGCCAAAATACTTTCAGCTCATATTATATGAACATTTTTTGTGATTTAAATTGTGAATCAAAAAATATCAGAGTTTGTTGCAGAAAATCAAATCCAAAAAGCACACCCAGATAACTGATTCAGCAGGATTCATTAACTTCTTTATATAGATAATAATACATGAAGTAAACTTACAATACTCACAGCAGATTCTTCCAGTGTGGTAGCAGTTACAGGCAATACACAAGTAGAGGAGAGAACAGCAGAGAACAATTTCAGTTTTGATTCAGAGTTGCAGACTAGTTAGCAGCTTCAGAGCTCAGAGCTTAATACAGAGCCATGCTTAGGCTCCTCCTAGTTTCAGTTTCCTAACATTCCTCATTGGCTGACTTTGTTACCATGCTTCTGCCAATTCATGAATATTCTGACAAAACATAAATTTTGATTCAAATAAATAGTACAAAAAACACAGGGTTGTTTGAAAATTAAGCTGAATGAAAGGTTAGGGAAATTCTGTCAATATCTGTTGGTTTGTTTTCAAGGCAAAGTTCCCAAAGTACAAGGAATTATTTTTATTCATTATTTATGTAGCAGCCATATTCTCCAGTTCTCTTAAATGTCTTATTCTTAAATGCACAGTGGTAAATTGTCTATAGTTTAAATATTAAGGTACTGCTTTTAAATGTTTTTATGAATTGATTTTGAACTATTAGGAATTCTTTTTTGTTTTAAAAGGTAGCATATTAATTTATGAGTTCATTAAAATTATAGGAATAAAAATGTATTTTACAGTTCAATTCAATTCAGGGGTGGGATTCAAATTTTTTTACTACCAATTCTGTGGGTGTGGCAGGGGAAGGATAACATGAAACCTCCATTTCCAACCCACTCCTGGGGGAAGGTTACTGCAAGGTTACCCCATTCCCTCCCCACCCCACTTACCTGCTTTCCAGCTCCGTTCTCTTGTGCAGGGCATCAAAAGAAGACCCAGCTGATCAACTGGGACTTGGGAGGCAGAGAATAGATGGGGGCGGGGCCAGTTAGAGGTGGTATTTACCAGATCTCCGAACTACTCAACTCCGAACTACCAGTTCTCCAGAACTGGTCAGGACCTGATGAATACCACCTCTGGTTCACTCATATAAAAGCAAAAGTACATTATGCTGTAATTTGCATAAGAATTTTTCTAGAATTTGCATAAGATTTTTTTTAAAGAATTTTTCTAGAGCCAAAAAAATAAAAGATCAACTATCAACAGTATGATAGTAAAACTCAGCAATCAATAGCCATTAGAGGGAGGGACAGCTGCATATCCTTCGGGAGGCAATTCGCTGTGTTTGGAACCATTTACAAAAAGATTCTGTCCCTGAAGTCTATCAGTCAGATTAAATTTAGGACCTTCACAAAATTTCAAATGGACCAGAAGTCTCACTCTACTTGCACTAATTCACTTTTATTCACTTTTATGAACATAATGATTTTATTCTTCTTGCCGGATTAGTCTTTGATCATGAACATTTTTTTCAGTGAAGATGTGGGAGAGTATGAAACTATATGAAGTCTCCTAAAAGGAACTAGTTACTTTTCATACATGAATCACTTGGGATTTTTATCAAGCACGTATGGTTTGATAACAGAATTAATGTCCTAAGAATAGCTTGATCTTAAAGGATTTTTCATTGCTCAATAGAGCTTGGAGTTTCAGAATGCCTTGTCATTCAGCAGAGGGCAGAATTCCTTTTTAACTAACGCAAAATCAGAGCAGCCCAGGAGAACGTGGCTGAAATCTACATCTTTATTATTTTATTTTGTAGTATCTAAAGTATAAATTGTCTGATGAAAACTAATTTCCACAATGAGAAATCTATATATTTTGTATTTGTGTGGGTTCTGTAATTTCAAGATTAAATTATTGAATATATGGTTAATGTTATACTGTAATTTGAAAAGGATTCATTGTGGCTTTTTATTTTTTTAAAATGTAATTTATTATTGAACAATGCAATCATAATGAATAATCTATATTTCTCATCTTCACTCCCTTCATAGGCAAAGGATGCACTACAATGCTTAATAGACAAACATCAGAAAATACCAGGAAATGTGTGGAGGGCTTTGATGGAACGAATTATAACAGGGAAACAAGAAAATGAATAACTTTGGCAAATCATTGTGAAAAAAAAATTGAATGATATTTTAATGTGATATATGATTTAAGAATTGTTACTATAGTTTTTTTATTTGCTGTGCAAATGTATAATTTTACAGAAAACCAGGCTTTGAAGATTATTGTTACATATTGCTCAGGAAAGTAAATCTTTCACTATAAATACAACTCTGTGTGTTCACAGAAATACAACAATAGTTTAAAAACCACAATCCTAATTAGGAATAAGATGTAAAAATGATTTTTAGGCTGTTTGAAATGGATCAAATACATAGCATTTTTCTAGTACTTCTTAAAGTAAATGTGAACTATAAATGAATTGGGATTAAATTTAGTATTTTTGTAAAACTTGGATTTTTAAAATTCCATATATTCTCCAGTTACAACAACAGATATTCTTCCTTTTACAGGTCATCTGATATCTAGTGCAATCTCCCCATAGGCAAGATTAATTTTATACCCTTTTTACTCTACTTAATTGACTTTCCTCTCTCCTACTTTCATGTGTGTTCATAAGTGTTTCATAGAAAATGTAGAAAAAATGTAAAATGTACAAAAACAGCAAAATTACAGTGTATACTACAGATTTTAATTACGTTTCTTTACCAAAAGTTTAAAGTAATTAAATTTATGTATGCAGAAGCTTATTCATATGAGCAAGAAAGATCCAGTATCTGTATTCATTAATACTTAGAACTATATGTAGAATTTAGTTTTATATTACTGACCGGTACTACTTATACTGGTACTTAAATACAGAAAGTTGATTAAGGCTTTGTAAATAATGTGAATTGGCACTGCATAGAGAAGAATTTCTGCTGTAGAAATTAATTGTTTTGCTATTTCCCAGCAAGTAGTACATTTTTGGACAAACTACTAATTTATTATGAGCTTGTGTTCCTGGAAATTAAAATTCATAGGTATAGGTATACTTCTGTGCCAAGGCAATACGAAGCCACCAAGATGTGCTTTATTAACTATAATAATTCTGCGATCAATAATCATTCAAACAGAAGCTTACATAGCAGTTTACAATGCCATCAAAGTGAGAACATTTGCATAGGAAGTTGAAATGATAATTCTTTTATTGGAAAGTATCCTAAGAACATGTTTCAGTATTCTCCACTTTGGTTACAGTTAATATATAGAGTGGGCTAAGTATTAATGAATAGGTCAATTCATGTATTGTAAATCAAGGATATCTCTAGTCAAATGGTTGAATTAGTTAAACAGCATGACACAAGTTCTTTACTGCATCATTTGCAGTGTACATGTTGTCATTTTCATGTCATTGTGCCTTACTATATGCTCAAACCTATGAGTGAATGATTATTGACAACAACTTTTCTTACAGTGCCCTTGGTCAGCAACAGCTAGCAGAGTAAAATCTGCAGGGATCCTTTTTCATAGATAATATTGCAACTCTGAGCATTTTTTAGGTTCCTCATAGTCTTAATCCATTTTTAAGGTTAGATTCTGTTTTAAACATTCCATATATGTTTATTGTGCAGATTTATAACTGCCCAAACCTACTTATGAGTAGCTTATTTATGATATATGCGTAGGACATTTATTTTGTTGTTTTCAGTAATGCAAAATAACTTAAAACTGGTGTGGGGGGGTATATTTGAGAATGTTCTGAGTAATATTTTTACTTTTGGTGGCAAAAGGATAGTTCTCCAGAGCTCTTAATTGAAAACTATTATGTAGTAGTAACCATTATAATCCACAAAGCAGGACTTTCTTTCTTTAAAAAATTAACTAGAAAATTAGCTTTATTATGTCTTTTTTCAAATTTTAGCATGCATAAGGAATTCCTTCCAAATTGTTTTAAGAAGATGCCATGTGAAGCTAGAGTGCTTTACCATGAGCCTATATCTCTCTCAGGATTTTTTGAAGTGGGGTGGACATTTCTGAGCATTGAAATATGTCCAATAGTAATGAAAATAGGACTGGAAATCTTATGTTTGATATAATTCTACTTCCAGAAAAATGTATTTTCTGTGATTGCTATGTGTACTACTTTAACTATTTATTCATAGTAAATAATAACAAATATTTTCTTTCTTATTATCCAACTGAATCTACTGTACATGGTAAATGTAAATCTAATTTTATATTATCACATTTAGCCTTACTTTTCAACTCCCTTAAGATCTTAAAAGGAAACAAGCTGTTATGATGACCGTTTGATAATTATCATTAAAAAGTTAAGACTAGAAATAGTCACCAGTATAATGATTTGTGAAAAATATTAAAGAGATAGAAAAATAGATAAAGAAGGGACCAATGCCCATATTTAGGAAAACCTTTTCTGCCCATTTAAGTTTTTTTTAGTTCTGTTGCTGTTGTAAAATGTATTGCTTTTACTTTAAATTAACATTTTCAATTTCATTTAATGTTTAATTATTTTCTTTCAGACCGATTACTCAATGTTTAGATTATTTAAAAGTGTTTGTAAGGTATTTCCAGGAGTAATATAGGAAACTAACCTATAAATATTTTGAGATTGGGGTTGTGGATATTGCTGGATATTTTTTTCAGAATAATGCTTTTAAATCATAGTAACAGATTGAAATATTGTTCATTTTAAAGAATATTTAAACATATTTTATCTGCACTTATTTCTTATTGTTTTCTTTATTTTTATGTCATGTAATGAAAAATATCTACTGAATAAAGCAGAAGTGACAACTAGAAAATATCCCTACATATTATATTACTGTGTGCATTCTACTGCTCTTAGTTTTTTTTTTTCTTGAATACTGAAGAAAAAGACCAGAAATCATATGTTTTAGTATTAAATACTAGAGCCTGGAGAGCCTTCATAAGTTATTTTTTTTTAGCATTAGTAAAGTTATTCTCAAATGCCTGCTTTAAAGATTTTTCCCAGTTGTGTCTCTGTGTCTATGTCCAGGAAAAGTCTTTTTTTGTGTGTGAATAAAACCTTGAAAAAGTTGTATATGTTTTCTGGAAGAGTAAGAGCAAGAATAACTTATGAGAGTGATTTGTAGCAAATTTGTAGCAAATCCTTCAGCACCACAAAGGATAGCTATTTCTCTCCTTAATGCCTTTAGGATACAACATCATCTTCCCTAACCTTAACCTATTGATTTTCTACCGTTAATTCATCATTTACATTTCATTATAGCCTGTCTTTATTTTATATTACAAATATAAATTATTACAAATACAAATAACTCAAGGCAATGAACATATCCAAACACGTGGAAATTCTCAATTATCCAGATCATGGTTGACCCTTTTTGTCTTCAAAAGGCAACTGGACTTCCTTGGTTTTTTCCTTTGAAAACATTTTACTTCTTATCCCAAAAGCTTTTTTTTAGTTCTAACTGGTAGGGAATAGAAAGATTTCCCTATATTTTTTGCAACCATCTGGTCATTACCACTCTCAGGGTAGTTCAGGCCACTTGGGGATTTAACAGTAGCCTCAGAGTCACCTGAATCAGAATGCAAACAGGTATGGAGCCTTCTTGGGATTGCTAAAAGGACTGTGTTGTAAGTGGGAGATAGATGAATTCGTATCCTTTCCCCCTCTATTAATATAGTCTCGTTGAGTCCTCTTTTAAACTGTGGCCCTCTCTGTCCAGAATGTGAACCTTGCTGCCTTCAAAAGAGTTAATCTTGTCTTTCAGATGAAGATGGACTGCTGAATCCTTTCCTGATGACTGTGCTCTCCTGTGCCATATGTTTGTGAAGTGGTTGTTTAGTTTGCCCAGGTCTGCACATACCTCACTGCATTTATTTTTTATTTATTTGATTTTATTTATTTGATTTTGTCAATCTCTTACAAGATCATAGGTATAAGAATAAACATGACTGTAAATATAGGAAATAGGTACAAATAAATGGGGACAATAGGACAGGGATGGTAGGCACAATTGTGCACTTATGCATATCCCTTACAGACTTAGGAATGGGGTGAGGTCGATAGTGGATAGTTTGAAGGTAAAGGAGTGGGGGTTTGAGGATGTAACAACAGGGTCAGGTAGTGCATTCCAGGCATTGCACCGCATATCAACATTACTCTATTTGTATCTGGGTGTTTTGTCCTTGGGATAGACAAGCTTCTGCCATAATGTATTCTGGATTTAAAGTGTGCATGTATATTGTGTTGTTGAAAGGCTGTATTAAAATTGAATAGCTCTGCATCAAAAGAGGGAAAGGGGTACAATATCACCTATTTCCTGTTTACAATGCAGTCTTTTCAACAGTCCAAAGAAGATTCCACACCCAATTGCACTCTGATTCAGGTGACTCCGAGGATACAGATAAACTCCCAAGTGTCCTCAAGGACTCTCAGAAAGCTAATGACTGACTCAGTGTGCTAACAAACAGATGACTGCACAGAATATAAATTCTTCTATTCCCCATCAGTTAGTTAGACAAAGCTTCTTGGATGAGAAGCAACACATTTTCAAAGGAAAAAACCAAGAAAGTTCAGTTGCCGTTTGAGAAAAATGAGAACCTTACAATTATTTAATGCAACTTCCACTTATTTTCCCCACAAAAACTCTCTTGAGTTCAGCTGAGAGAGACTGGCTGCCTGTAAAGCCACCCGCTGGCTTTCATGGTTAAGGTAGGACTTAAACTCAGCCTCTTGCTTCCTAGTTTGGTGCCTTAACCATTAGACCAAACTGGCTATCAATTTCTCTTCCTTTCCACATCAAGAGCTTTCCAATGTTCTTCCCTTGCTCTCTTTTTCAACTTTTTCATTCCATACACATGTGACACTAATTGATAGTTTCTATTGACCTCTTGGTTCTGTATCTTTTGCCACCTGGCAGTTGGTAGGTAGTTTCCTGATTTGCATATTATCTGTTTTATACATGTATAATATTGTCTAGAATTAGCTATCAGTTTTTTGAGGAACGTATTTCACCTACAAAATTAAAGTTTCATGTGGCAGGGTATGCAATAACTTTAATTGGAGAAGAGCTGAGCAGAAATGGTTCTCTGCAATTCCTAAAAAAATGAATGTCAGAGAACCACAATTACACTTTCCTAAATAAATTACACAATCTCTTAATTTCTTCAAGGAAAAGTCAAATTCTGCAGCAGTTCCTCAAGGGCAGAACTCCCCTTTGCTATACATAAGAGAATCAGCCTTAAAAGTCTTATTTTGTGATTTAACAAGCGTCGGAAGCAGAGAGACCCGACCAACGGAGATTTTATTTACCAAATATGGAAATTCTCCATCTCCCCCACAATAGGAATCCTATAATTCACGGTTTACACAACATGTATTCGCAGCATGAATGCCGGACGGCTGATAGGGCTTACCTGATGTAATCTAGTTTGCTAATGATCTTTGTAATGGTCTCTGTATACTTGTCCAGAACCTCATATAAGCAACAGAAGACATTTTAATTTAAAATGCATAAAGAAAATTGCATATGAGAATGTAAACATGATATATAAAACACAGATACAGTACCACCTACCCTTCCATATTATAACATAAAAGTCATAAAACTTTTCATGGTTTTGGAACTGTTACATTGTGAGTAATACAGTAGTCATCTTAAACAGAGCACAAATCTAAATGCAAACAAAGCACAGATCTTTTAAAAAAATTGCGTTATATATTCAAGGCCGGGCACAAAAATGCGCCAAACAAATGGAAAAACAGCAAGTCTGAAAGAACGAAAAGAGCATATGCCAAAGTCTTGCCTTACTTTCGGCAGCATCCAGGGATCTTGGACTTGAAAGAGACAGAAATTAAGAGTGACAAGACGATTTGCTATGGAATTATAGCAACTCACTAGCTTCGATCGCGCAACTCTATTTTCTAAAGGAGGCCGTCTTTTTGCACTTACAGTGTCTTGAGCACGCTTAAAATTCATGAAAAAAAAAATCAGCCAAAAGACTTCATTAGTTAAACCAAAGTTTAAGAACACGGATTGGCAGGTTCTTGAAGACACGGTACGTTCTTTCGTGGACCAATGGGGCGATGCTGGCGGTCGGAGCGTCTCTCGAAGCGCCATCCTCTTAATCCCGCCCTCTTGGGCGTGGGAAGGAAAAGCAGAAGGAAAGGTTGCGTCTTGCAGAGAGCGAAGCGATCCCTGTGGTTGAAAAGAAGGCGAGGGAGATTAATGAGCCTCTCTTCCTAGCTGCCGTGATCTCGGTTAGTGAATCCCGGCCGTGAGGGGGACAGGACTGGCACTGGGCTCTTTTCGGCTGACCCGCATCATTGCACCCTCTGTGGCCAAAGCCTTCCCCCTGCCCCTTGATTCCCATGAAGCCCCGGACCCTTCCTTCTCAGTCTGTCCTGAAGTTCTTCTCCATGGGTCCCCCCTCCCCGGTCGGAAGATAAAACCGATAAACCTGAAGGGAGGCGGCTCTGCTTTTTGAAGGCTTCCAGGGGCGTTCATAATGTCGTAAAAGCGAGAGTGTTCTTCCTCTGCTAGTGGGAGAGTAATCCTGTGGATGTCGGAGTGAAGAAATGAGCTTTG